TGCCCCGCTCCTGTCTCATTCTGCTTTGTGGCCTGTGCTGGTGGCTCCAGTCGATCTTGAGGTGGTCCTGGTGAAACAAAGAATGCAGATGTGGTGGGACTGGACTTACCATTCTATAAAGATTTCATGAGTTTAATGAGGTTTCACTAGTCATCTCTGATTGCTGATGAACAATTGAAGAAAAACATAAGAAAACTCACATGATATCGATATAGTTGAACATGACGCTGATACGTTTCAATATATAGAGAACACGGTGTTGCCTGATGGATATTTCAAAATATTCCCATACGCAAGCGGCGGGCTGCCCCGTTCCTGTCTCATCCTGCTTTGTGGCCTCTGCTAGTGGCTCCGGTCGATCTTCAGGCGGTCCTGGTGAGACAAAAACTGCAGATTTGGTGGGACTGGACTTACCATTCTATAAAGATTTCGTGAGGTTAATGGGGTTTCACTACTTATCTTTGACTGCCGATGAAAAATTACATCAGAAGAACTCACATGGTATCGATATAGTTGAACATGACGCCCATACGTTGCAATTTATAGTGAACATGGTGTTACCTGATGGATATTCCCAAACGCAAGCGAACTGCCCCACTCCTGTCTGATCCTGCTTTGTGGCCTCTGCTGATGGTCGATCTTGAGGTGGTCCTGGTGGCACGGGATCTATGAACATGTGCAAGGCCAGGACTTGTCGTTCTATAGAGAATTCACTGGCGCTGCCCAAACATGCTCTCGCTCATCGCGATGCTACAACGGCACACCTCTATGAAATTATGGGGTTGAACCCCCTCGCGCTCAATGACAGCAACCCGCGGAAATGACTCTAGGCAGCTTCATAGCCTTTCATATCTACTGCTCGCTGAACATACCGATCTAAAATAGAGGGTCTGGCCCTCACAGAAACATTGAAAACTACAGCATTTTCATGTATTTTCTAGGACGGATACTACATCATCAAATCTAGACATACATGCATCCAGCTAACTACGTACTAGTAGCAGGGCCATATTCATTATATAATTGGCATTGTTCATCTCTATTCATCTCTAGGCTCCACTCCAACACTCCTCGTCATACCATGTCATACTCACGTGAGGGCCGGCAACTGCACATCATGAAATGCAACGCAACACGAATTGCTGAGCTCTTGCTTTCATTTGCTTTCCATTCAATATAAGTTATTGAGTTTCCCTTCCAATCCAGATCCGGCAGCAATGCATCATGTGTGGCGTGGAAACACTTTTACGTCCTTCTTACTGTTGGTTCGCGCGCTCATGCAAGCACCGCGATAGCCGTCGTCTGCAACCTACGCTCATGAAGTGGAGAATTCAATGCTCCAATCTGCCACGCAAGAACATTCGCATCTATAAAATGAGAGGGCTGACCACACAGTGCCCCATGAAAAGCGAGGGGTAACCCGATGCTCACCGCCGCAGCATGCCATGGTAGAACCATGTAGCACCCATGCTATCCTTCTCCTCCTGCCTTCTCCTCATCTCCTCATCCCTTCTCAGGATACGGAAACTATGTGGTATTGTATTGGACGCGATGTTGTATAGTGAGGGCCTCTTCTGCTCCTTCAGCGTCATCTAGCTGAGGTTGCGTATGCTCGGAACTCCCTAAAAACAATCATGAGCGAGGCCAAATCTATAAAATCAATAGTCCCCACCCTCACACACCAGAATCTCTGTATAGAATGACACAAGTGAAATGGACATTTCCACTGTCTCGCCCCCAAATCTCAGCTAATTTGTATAATCGACTATTTCCTAGATCTTGCTGGCCTTGGCCTAGTGTCTTTCGGCGCCTCTTCGAATCCAGGGACCCAATCTATAAAATTAGAAGCTCCCACCCACACAGACCCAAGTCGGTGTTCATTTGAGCCCCCAATGGTGGATTTAAATGAACACCGATTTGGGGCCCGCATTTCTTGCATCATGAGCCAGG